TGGGCACCGGGTGCCTTCGTGTTCACCGGCACCCCCCCGGCTCTCCACGTCCCTCAGAGCAAATAACGGACACTTGACGGCCTTCCTGCTTCATCCTGAAGGGTGCAGGTGGTTTCTGCTCATCCTGGGGTGACCTGCTCTACTTTTTCAGGGTGCCCCCCCCTAAAACGTAGGCTGTCCTCGGCCAAAAAGCCCCTGTGCGTCTTTTTCCGGGGAGTCTTGCCCCAGGAGGGGCTGGTCCTGTTGCCAAGCTTGAGCTGCCAACTAGATTCAAGGCTGGAGGCTAGTGCAGCATGGGTTGGAAAATGGGGGCTGGCGGGGGGAGTTCCTAGATGTGGGTTATCAGTGGCCGGGGGTGATGTCAACTGGTGTTTCTGGTTAAGGCTTGTATTGGTGGTGCTTTGTTGTTAAAGTTGGAAAATCCTATACGTTAACAGCTAGCATTTCATTTCTTCTTCTTTTAAACAGGGATTTCTGCTCCAGTGGTCTACTTTGTGGATTATGTCACCAACTCCATATATCTTGAAGACATTGTAGACTCAATTACTGTTCAAGATCATATTAATTCTGTACAACAGAGTGGAAGTGATACCAGTAGCCTCCTTATCTTAGCAGAGAAGATGGGTGAGCTGTTAGCAAGAATGCACGATGAAGATCTTATACACGGGGATCTTACAACTTCCAATATACTGCTGCGGCCACCCACGGAGAAGCTGGACTTGGTGCTGATAGACTTCGGACTCAGTTTTATTTCGGGTCTTCCGGAGGATAAAGGAGTTGATTTGTATGTTCTGGAAAAAGCCTTCCTTAGTACTCATCCGGATACTGAAACTGTGTTTAAAGCTCTGCTAAAGGCCTACGCAGCTACATCTAAAAAATCCGGTCCTGTGATCAAAAGGCTGGATGAAGTACGTCTAAGGGGAAGGAAGAGATCCATGATTGGGTAGAAGAGACCGGGCTTAGGGATGGAGAAATATTATTACTTAGGTTCTACAAGTATGGTTATTTATACTTCTGGTTGGTTTTATTTCACAGATCACTATTTTGGTAACTGTGTCTTCAAATAAATAAATTTGAATGAGTTTAAGTGTCATAAAGTAACCGAAGTAATTGTGGGATGGGAGCACAGACAAGAGAGAAACAACTAAAGGTCACTTCTTCCCTAAATGTTAAATATTTCTTCTAAAAAGTAGTTTACAGTGTCGTTCTACTCGCCCTCTTCTTCATGTGGTTAGAATCGTACTGAGTAATCTTTCTCAGCCTGTGGACCATGGATTTGTGGGAGGTAAGAGGGACCTGGGGATACCAGAGCATCTACAAAAGGTAATTAAAAAAACGGAATATGTTATTTTTCTGAGAAGACTTTACAACAAAGCGTTTAAATCCATTATAAATGACTCTACACATCCTGAAAATATTCCAGGACACGGGCAATGCTGAAATAGTGTGCTAAACTTAAGACGGGTTCATTTTCTTCCAGTAGTAATTTTGGCTTTTTTTTTTAGTAGATAGTATTTCCTTAAGCAAATATAAAAATTGTTAATCAAGAAGAGTTTTCTGCTGAGAAACTTCCACTTTGAGCAAGAAGTCTGCTGTAGATTTCCATTTTTTGGAGCTTTATAAGAGGGACTTTGCATTGTGATTGCCTGCCTAGGCAGGCAATTGGCAGAGGTAGGCACTAATGTTTTTTTAGTAACGTTTTCTCTATAGTACTTGATTTTCGGGATTACTGTATCTGATAGTGTCAGTGTAAGAAGGCCCAGAGGAAAAGTTGAGGAGCCCCCCAGTCGATGCGTTAGAAGGTAATCGATCGTCTGCGCTACAAGCAGAATGGGATGCGAGTGGTGTGCTGGGTGAGCGCGTGGGCTTTGTCATTTACTTCAGACGATTTGACAGGAACAGCGGACTCCTCCCTGAGCGGTTCGCGGTCTTGGGCAGCCTCTGTCCGTCGGGGGGGATCCTCCGTGCCCTCACTGGTGCTGCGTCTGAAAACGCTTGTGCGAAGGAGGGAGCAAACCCTGCAGGAGCCGACCCCCTCCTGCGCGGCAGCCTTCCTCGCCTCTCCGCAGCCGCGGGCACGTCCCTTCCAGCCGGAGGGGAAAGCGCGGCTGTGAAAGGCAGGGCGGGGGTTTCGGTGGGCACAGCTCCGCCTGGCAGGGGGGCCGGGGCGGAGGGCTGCTTCCTCTCCGCTTAAAGCAAACCAACC